ATATATATATATATAAAAGATCCAAGAGCGGAAGCTTTATCACTTTTTTTTTTAAATACATATGTAAATCAGTAATTTGTCATCATATTTATCATATCATAATCTATTTTTTATCTAGGACGCCTCTGGGAAACCGAAAGAATGTCAACACTGTATTTAAGTCACCAGTAAGTTCTATGTGAGACTGAAAGACAATTGTTTTTTATGAAGTGTTTTATGCTGTGACATTTAATAAATAAAACCGAATAATACAAGGAACCCCAACAAACATTCCCCCTTCTCACAGCATTGTGGAGAGGCATACAAATATACACAATGCATATAGTATATACAATCTTTACATATTGATACTTCAGAAAGGATAGTTTCCCTTTGAAAGGATTTTATAGGGTTTTTTTAAACATGAATATGTTCAACTTAAGGACCAGCGTGGACGGGCTATTGTTTGCTTCAAACTGGTTTTGCATTCCTATACATGTCTATTGAAATGCAAAAGCCACTTGAAGCAGGTCAAATACAATTCAGAAAGAGGCCGATTGTAGGTCAGTTGCAGCTGTCTGTGAATTCCGCACTATTTCAGAAGAGTTTCAAACTGATGCTATCCACACAGATCCAGATATTATCAACACGGGTCCAAATCCCTGACACAGGTCCAGATATCATAACGGATCCAGATATTATCAACACAGGTCCAAATCCCTTAGACGCAAGTCCAGAGCATGTTGAGACAAGCCCCCTCACAGCGCTCCCTCCAGCCTTTCTCCTCCTTCCCTGAACCAGTGGTATGTCCTTTGGGGTCCTCATGTCCAATACGCATTGTATTGGACATGATGACTCCAGGATCCTTAGAATGCTGCAGCGGAGGGGGAGGGAGGGTGTGCCGACAGGTCTAAGAGCAAGCTGTTTCCGAGGATCAGTTGAGTATAACTTTATAGTAGCCCCACTGCAAGGGTTAATACAATTTTTCCCCAGATTTCTCTTTAATCACCATTCCCACTCAATAAAAACCTCTGTTCATCTGGTAAGGGGTAGTGGTGACGCACTCTTGTTGGCAGCGATTTGGCCCAGAATGGCCAATCACTATGCCCACATAAGGCTGGTGTGTTGTGTTATAGGGTATGCACTTATTAACAATAATACTGTGCGATTGTGTGCAGATTTGGAGGGGTGGAGAAGAGGAGAAACAAGTCAGTATAAACATGGACACAGGATGGGAAGTTTGATTTTTTTTTTTTTTTTTAGGTGAGTGCCAGGAATGATCTTTTATGGGAAGTTACATTGTTCCCGTTTTGCTCAATGTATATCTCCATGCCTGATCTCCAGATGCTGCAGAGGATGCTAAAATGTCTTCATTTGTCAGAGCTACATACATTTATGGCTGGGCTCCTCCAACTGTGGCTCCAGCAGCTTCCAGTAGGAAGAAGTGGGTGGGATATAGCACCAATGTTGTCCTGTGAGGTTGGGAGGAAAGGAAGGTGCGCAGGCACATGTGCTACACTGCATCCTATAGGGGATTATATGCTAAAGGTATATTTTTGTACTGATTGATTTGCCACATTAAACTATGCTAATGATTACATTTTAAGTATAGGTCCACCATTAAGTTGTATTTCACTAGCCTTGCTAATGGGAGCTCCATATTTTCTCATTATGTATGCAAGCTTTACTTTTCTGCTTAGCAGTGTTTGCACGTTATTATTCCTCTCCAAGTACAGATCAATAATGCTAGACAAACACTGCTATATTCAATCTGCAGGGTAAACGAGAGGAAATCGAAAGATTCCTCCATCCACCCTAAATGACATGGATGGAGATATCGCCAGTGCCGACTATTGTATTCAGACAGCCGCAGCACCCACACCTACCAGAATACCCGAACCGTGACTGCATCTGATAGGATGTAGTCACTACTTGTCCGATCATTTTCTACCCAGCTCAGTCGATTTTTGGTCCGACTTTAATTGGGTGGTGCTGACATGGCTGCCTACAGTTCAAATATACATTTTATGCTGTGTTTTTTAATGTTCCAATAGGTTCAGCAACCTAATAGCCAGTGGACTGCAGGCGATGAAGACACATTGGAAAAGGCCAACTCGGAACTGAAAGAAAAAGAGGCCTCTCTGGATAAAGAGATAGCAGAGCTCGAGGCACAGTATGTATACAAGGCTGCGATTAAGGAGCTGGACCTAATTTTATAGTGGTCGGTGGTCTGTCCGTGTTTCAGCCCAATGGCCTGGGTTCAACAGCTACCTACAAAAATTGAGTCCCCCCCCTCCCCCCCGAGTTCAGGGGTGACCCAATTTGTGAAATCTGTTTCTTGGAGGGGCACCACAAACATGCTTTGGGGGTCCAGAGCAGTACTTTATTGGTTCTCAATTTATCATGAAGGGAGAGTTAACACGTTTGCCATCACATTGGGACAGATTGTGATGGCAAATCCAAAATGTAACAGCTGTCACAGGAAGAGGAGGTAAGGAGGAAGGAGGAATCTTCCAATGGGGACACCTGTTCCACTGAATGTCTAAGGTGAAGTTTCCCCTTGCTTATGGAGAGATTTCTACTCGCTTCCTCTTGTTTCTTTGGGACAATATGTGAGGGTAAATATCTGCAACTGAACACAGCAAAAAAAAAAAAAAAAAAACGTGGTTTTAACAATTCCTTTCTGTATCATAAACTAATAAAAATGGTTTTAATTATACTTTAAATCCGAATGCATTGTTTGTTATTGTTTGCAGAGGCTACAGTCTAGAAGAACTGGACAAGCATATCTCCCTCCTTCATGAATACAACGAGTTAAAAGATATAGGACAGACATTACTAGGCCACTTAGGTAAGATGTTCACTGTGAGAAGTTAAAGATTTTATAAGTTCAGCTACTACTTGTGTTCGTTTACACTGCTTACTACAACTACTATTTACAACCACAGACAGCTTAGGTGCAAATCTAAAACTGCACGAGTAAGGTGACAACACATATCTTAGCCAGTTCTCCTAACTTAAAGAAGTAGGATCACCACATATACAAATTCTTATTAAAACCCCCCAGAGGACCAGGTGGTTCCGTTCTGATCTGTGGCCCCGTTACTGAGCTAGCAAGGTCTACAGCTTGATCAAACACCCCTTCCTCCACCTTTAGCCTAGAATACAGCCAGTACAGACAGAATGAAACTTAGCTTTTTGTCCTAGAACAGGGATGCTGTTTTAAAATGGGACACGGCGGTCTATGCACTTGGTCACCTGGAGGATTTAGTAAGGATTTTTGACATGTGGTGATGCTTTATTGCCCCACCTCTTGCTTGTTTTATTGAACACAATAACACCATTACACTAGCAATCCTTAGTTTTTTGTAATATATACTTCAGAACACATATGAACTTGAATCAGATAAAGGAAAATAATCTCATTAATGAGGGTTAGCTTTTAAAAAATGTTGTTTCTACTTCTAGTTTGTGACTTGCTTCCAGATTAGTAGTGCTGCTCTCTCTCTCCCTGTTACATGCACATTTGTTGAATTCTATAAGTAGCTGTGCCAATCCTCATTGTGAAGGTATTTTCTGCCAGTCTCACCATCAGGGAGCTGGCAGCCTATTTAAATTTAGGTCCTGCTGCATTTTTTTTGCAACATAACACTGCATTGCTGTACTGCAGGTGCATCCTGGACAAATTTTGTGATGCTCTGTAAAATGAATGGCACCGCTGCTGTGTGTTTTTACTGCTTCTTACTCCAACAAGGTGTAAACTAGTCATTAGGGTTTCATATCTACTTTTAAATATATGTGTGGTTATAAGTACTGTACAGTAATGGTTCATGAAATCAATTTATTGTTCCCTTTTGAAATAGCTGTTTTCCGTGGTGTAACCACCAAAGAACTGTATTCAGAGTTTGGCATGGACCTGGAAGACTGAAGACAACCTCGGGATGTTAGTTATTCACTCTGTTGCCCATTGTGGATTTCATTAAAAAAAAAAAGTTCTGAGTTTTCTTCCACTCAGATTGAAGATGAGATGTTTTTCTGCTGCAAGACCAAATTAAATGTTATTATTATACAGGATTTATATAGCGCCAAAAGTTTGCGCAGCCAAATCAACAATGTTATATTTGTTATATAAAAGAGGTTTTTTTCCTGCGCTGGAATCCTGTAAATTATGGATTGAGACACAACCACCATTTCTGTAATACTCTAATAAAACTGATGAGATTCCAGCTGGTATTCCTACAAACTCCTTGCATTGAGGTGTGTCAGGATAAAGGTCTATGTCATGAATTTTGGTACATTGACATGCATTTTCACAATCAAATCATTTTGAAACCTCTGTCAACCCATTTTGACACATCTGTAGGTCATCTGATGAAAGCACGCCCGGGAGTCGCTGTGGGGTCCACACCAATGTAGTAACCACCCAATCTATCTGACATCCATGCTGACTCACAAGCCAGCCTTATTACGGCAGGCTGGTTGCCAGAGATGATCAAAGCTAGGTTCTTTGCTATATATGCCCATGCATTTCTATAGGTGGCTGTAGTTCAAGACCCTTGTAGGTTATTTTTTGCTGTCAGCTCCACTGAGGAGATTTCTCTTTACTTCCTGTCCTGGAGACGCAAAAGGAAATGAGAAAAAAAAAATCTTACTGAAGTAAGGGGAATTTCCATTTCGGTTGTCACCTGAACATTTGTCCCCAATACATGATTTTCCCTTAGCAAAACACAAAACAAACGGAGGGCGCCTCCCCTAGTGAAGATGTCTTTATTAAGCAGAAAGAAAATCAAGAAATCTACTCACAATAGAGCAATAGCATAAAGCCTTCAATGCACAGATGTCTATCCACAATCCAGGAGTACAGTATAAGACAGCTGCAGAGCAATGACAGATCCAATTCAATGCATGCTTTGCCCTAATTAATGTGTTTCTGGGGCACGCCCCCTTTCATCAGAACCTGGCTGTCTCCTCCTTCCCTGAGCTAGTGGCACTTACTATGATTTTTCCTTTACCCATGCTGTGGTCATAACTCTAGAATTTGGGAATTCTCCCTTAAGTTCTTGATGACAATGATCACCTGGACAGAGGTGGAGAGGGTAAATCTCTGTGAGGACATAGTCAAAGGTTCTAATATTGCAAATAACAGTTTGACTTCATACGTTAGCGCTTCCTGTGTGGTCAGAGTAAATACAGTCTTTAGTTGATTACAGATGTTGGAGGATGGTCAGATGTGCCTTCAAACATCTCAGTCTACAATGTTAGTGTTCCCAGCAGCCTTGTCACTGCTTCCCAAAGATCATATGCAATTCTGAACATTCTAAAATGTTGGTAACTGCACAAGGCTGAACCTGTCCCCGTATGACACTGTTTGGGCCTAGCAATAGGTCACACAGTCACAGAATTGAGGGGAGGGGTTGTAGTTTAGCAAAAACCATACAGTAGGGAATGGTTAAATCACCTGCCAAGTGAGGTTTTGTTTTTTTGCTGTCACATTGGGGAAATTTCTCTTTACTTTCTATCCTGAAAGCTCAACAGGAAGCGTGTAGAAATCTCTCCAAAACAAATAAATCCCCTCCCAATTTCACAGGAACAAGTGTCCCCATTGCAACATTTCTGTTCTTGGGACAATAATAAGATGTTTACATTCCAATTGATTTTGATCCTGGACAAATAGAGAGGGGGAATCTCCCTACTGGAGACAGCAATAAAAAACTAAACGGAGGTTCTAAACCTGACATTATCCAACAATACAAAAACACCTTGGCTACAGATATACTTTGCGTCTCTTTTACAAAATGCCCTGTATCGCTTTGCCAATTTACTGCCTGACTGGAGGATCTGATTCATTATAGACTTGTATTACAGAGGGAATATTCCTTATTTCACTACTGACTCTGTGCCTTAGTTGATGATAGAATTTCAATGTCTTTGTATTTATTAATAAAAACATTTTTTTTTACATTTTATTGTATTTATTTGTGTCCTGGCATCCTGGAATTTTTGGGCAGTTGTGAGAATGAGTCAACATTCATATCACCCATGCTGGTGATTGGACATACATTACATAAGAAGTATAGAGCGTTGCTGTAGTTTCTACGTTCCGTCACTAGGTGGCAGCGGCCCACACAAGCGGAGTAGGGGGTGTGACGTCACTGAAAGTTTGTTTTAGTGAGCGGAGTGAATGTAACACGTTGGAATATAAGAAGCTTGTGATCTGGGCGATGCAATGAATGGCCTGATCGGACGTGATGGGGGATCGTAAGGAAGGTTTGCAGAGAAGTTGGTGCTCAGCTTAGGGTCTGATGCTGAATGTTAGTGCTCTGCTATAGTTTGCACCTTTGTTTCCTGAGGGAATCCGGTGCTGTACAGTCTCCGGGGAATCTTTTCAAACACCTAACATTAGTTTACTGCACATCCGGAAAGCTATGACACTGTGCAAGAAGAAGAAATAAATAAATACTCGTGTATACACGTAATAGATGCATGAGCAGTGCAGGCACGACCGGAGGGAGAAATTGTATAGAGATCAGCCGTATCCCAGCAGTATGTCCGTCATCAATCCATAGGGAGGGATAATGTGTACAGCTGAGGAAGCGGAAACTGATTAGAGTGTCATGACATTCATAAAGTATCCTTGCAGTGCCGAGAACATCGTATGAAGTTTTAGTAAAAGTCGACTCTGGTGGGACTCGAACCCACAACCTTTGAATGTCTACAATCATCCCTAGAAGTCCAATGCGCTATCCATTGCGCCACAGAGCCGCTCTGTGACATGGGAATGTCATCAGTCCCAGACATCTGTAGAGCCAGCCGGTAATACTGGGGGCCACAGACGTAGAATCATAGCCTCAAACATTCTTTATTCATTGATTGGTTTTCCTGAGGACATCAGAAAGTAATTTACAATGTTTCTAATGATTGTTTGTTTACTTCTATGTGGTGTTTGGGGGCTCATGCTCCCGGACGCAAAAAGACCCCTCATTTTTATAGTCACCATTAGTTCTTTTACAGGTCATTTTCTATGGGCCCATGCACACAAAGGGAAATGATCAGTAAGCCTGCACTGCGTTTAGATCCGTAAAATCAAAATAAAAACCTGTGTGTGAGGTCAGTAATTTACAGGTGTACACATAAATTGTGTGTACATGTATGTATGTGTGTAAATTTAATGCAATGGAGGTGGAATTGTAGGCATCAGTACGCTGCACGGGCTCATGCACACAGCCACAAAGGGTCAAGGGGAGGAATCCATAAAGAGTGGAGCAGGCAGAATCTGGAGCAGTTGCCTATAGCAAGCAATCAGCTTCTCTCTTCAGTTTGTTCAGTTAAGCTTTGAACATGAAACAGAGATGCGGATTGGTTGCCATGGGCAACTGCTCCAGATTCCGTCTGCTCCACTTTTTAGGAATTCCCCCATATGTTTATTTTACAGCTGTATTTTTTTGTGACGGATGTAGTGTACACCGACTTCCAGGCAGCCCGTTCAAATGAATGACAGACTTCCGCAAAGTTATACGCGGATATATGCAAATCCGAGGGGCTACAGGCATACATGGCTACGTGCGTATTCCAAAACGCAGGCAGTCTGGACGTTGGTGTATGATGCACTTGTGACTCCCAGGACCATAAAATACGGCCATAACATAAGCATACAGCTGTGTGCATGAGCCCTATGGATGCAAATTTGTCTCTTACACTTATTACTGTTTCGTTTTTTTATGCAGGATCTTTCTGCAAACATCTGCCAGAAATATCCTGCGATCAGTATTTCATTCCCACCATGTGCATGATGCCTAAAGCTGAAAGTCATCACCTAAAAATTCAGGTCAGTTGTTGAAGGGGTCGGTGTTATCTCACACGAGGAAATTGTACTCCTGTGAAATTTCAGAGCTGCTGCGCTGCAGCCGGGAAGGATCCAGGCAATATTATTGCTTCATCCATCCATGCCGTTCAGTATGGATTGTGTTTTAGTGTGTTTTACATGCATTTTTTGGTGTATTGTAATGTTTTTCAATTGTTTTCTGTTTTGCTTAATGATCAGCAATATCTGCTGTGACATCATTAGGTGTCATCTTCCTTGTATCTGCTTCCTGCTTGTTCTGTGTTGTGCTGTGTAAGTTGTGCTTTCTAAGCAATCTTGAGTCATGCCCCCTATGACATGTATTTGGCAGCCTGGGGTGCTTGCAGTGATCTTTGTAATTGTAGTCACTGGGATTGTACAGCAATGTCCTTGCCCATGGCGTGGCCTGCTCACTCCATCTTCCAATGCAGCCTGCCTAGAGTAGATGATGCTATGATAATGTACATGCATTTTTCATGCGCTCCCATTAAAGGCTATAGGTCAACTGACACTGTAGCACCAAAAGAAGCAACTGCACCTTTTTCCATGTTGTACAGCAGCACAATGCATAGGTGTGAATAGACCCCATAGAAAATCATGGGGTTCTTCTTGTCATGCATTGTCCTCTGACGGCCAACACAACAAATCTCACAGGTGTAAACAGGGATTATAAGACCTGCTCCGGATGTTTGCTAGCACGCCATCACTTGTGTTTTTTTGGCTCCACATAATCCACATGGTCGATCCACATGGTCAATGCTCTACTAACAAGGGGTCCTGTCAATGAAAATTAATTCAGCAGTATAGTGTGGCCCAAACATTGCATGCAAGCATTGTACACTTTCTCAGATGTGGCAGCTGCAGGGTGCTTGTCAGCGGGTTATAGTGCCTGTAACAAGCCTCTTTTGAAGCCCGTGTTAACATAGCCTAAAGCTAGCCTAAATCTCCCGCTGGGCCAAGCTTCAGTATCTTGCTAGTCGGCCCCGCTGGCTCTCAAAACACCTGAATGCCATCAAATTGTTCAGGTATTTTAAGAGCCAGCGGGGCTGACTAGCAAGATACTGAAGCTTGGCCCAGTGGGAGATTCCTCCATCCACACAGTTTAGCGTAGATGGAGGAATCTGTTGCACTTTTTCCATC